GCAGGGGGGGGGGGGCGGAACCCATTGCGTCCACACATATACTTTTTCATCCATGCAACAATTGTGGGGCAGACTGTCTCTCTGTCTCTATATTATTACCCAAATGTTAACTTCAAATATCTCAGAAACTATAAAAGACCGCCGGTTAAGTTATAAAGAAAAGTTACTCAGGGTTATGTCCTTGACAACATATGTCAAGGTCAAAGTCATCGGTAAGGTGTAACCTAATATGCATATTTACCTTATATTTATTCTCCTTCTCTTCTCCTTCTGTCTCTTTCTCTCACTCTTCCTCTCTTTTGCTTATACTTCCTCTTCTTTAATTTTAACTCTCTCTTTTTCTCTTTCTCTCTCTCTCTCTCTATTATGGTAGATTCGTTTTATACAAGGAAGTTAAAAATGACAATGTTGAGCTTAGGCATAAAACAATATGTAAATAAACCGACGAGAATTACGAAAAATAGTAAAACAATTATAGACTCTCTCTCTCTCTCCTCTCCTCTCTCTCTCTCTCTCTCACTCACTCGACCACATTCGATTCACATTATCGGCCATCAATCAAACATGCAATTTTAAATATACTTTAAATATATTTTCCAAATCTAAGAATCAATGAATATTTACTAACCCCTCTCACGATAAATTTTTGATAATATTTCTTAATAATATTTAACAATATATTTAATAATACTTAACAATATTGTTACCTGATATTATATTTATTCTCCTTTTTTTTTGTCTCTTTCTCTCTCCTACCCTCTCTTTTGCTTGTACTTCCTCTTCTTTAATGTGTGTGTGTGTGTGTGTGTGTGTGTGTGTGTGTGTGTGTGTGTGTGTGTGTGTGTGTGTGTGTGTGTGTGTGTGTGTGTGTGTGTGTGTGTGTGAGAAAGCTAATAAAGATTAATCAATCAATCTCTCTCTCTCTCTCTCTCTTCGTTACTTTTCTTCTTCTTTAATTTTAAATAAAGTATCCTTTTTTTTGCCTTCGCTCTTTTTTTCTCCTTTCCTCTCTCTCTTTTAAAATTAAACTCTCTCTCTCTCTCTCTCTCTCTCTCTCTCTCTCTCTCTCTCTCTCTCTCTGTTGCTTATTCTTCCTCTTCTATGATCCATAGTTTCTTCCTTCATCTTAATGGCCTTGTTTTTTTTTATTTGTGGTGCTACAATATTTATCGCTTCTACAATGTGTTGTATCAACTCGCTTGCACTTTATATCTTTATTTGCTTCACCATTGACTTCCATTATTGTACTTAGCTCTTCACAGAAACCTTGCTCACTAAAGTTTGTATATTCCCTTGTATAAAAGTCTATGCTTGTATTTGTATTCTTGTCATGTTCCGCTTCATATATTTCGATCTCAATTATTTGATAGTCAGTTATTTTTGGAGTTCCTAATACCTTGGTCAAAATATAAAAATTTGAAAAAACCAAGTCTATTTTAGTTTTTGATTATTCCGTGATTCTCGTGTATTCTGTTACATATTGTTTTAGCCCCAGGTTAATCATATTTTTTATTAGTCTTTTTGTATATTGATTTCCTTTACTTACATCTATATTGAAATCTCCTAATACTATAACATGTCCCATATGTAATAAATTTTCGCATTCCTCTGTAATAAGTTCTATAAATCTACCATCACTTTTATTCGGGGAATGATATAAATTACATATTACAGTTCCGTGATATTTTCGACTCAACTTGATGGCACTTACCCATGTATTCTCCTCTATGTTTTTATTACAAATTATTTTAAATTTTATATCCCGTCTTATATAATTTATTACTTCTCCAGTTCTACAGTTATTAGTGTTACATCTTACTATATCATAATTTGTTATACTTATTTCAGCATCCTCAATTTCTTCTTTAATATGCGTCTCCGTCAAACATAGAATCTTTGGTTTATATTTTATGACTAGGTTTTCAATTTCATCTTTATATTTGATGAATCCTTGTGCGTTTAACAATAGTATGAATGGTTTTATTGGGCGATAAGTTTCTTTCTGTGATTGCTAATCCTCACAATATTTTATGTTTCTTCTTAATTTATCTACCATTCTTTTATATGATTCACATTCTATATCTGTCGCTTCATGGTCGCATGCTATGTTAAAATTTAATTTTTTAACGCTTTTTAGGCAGTTTATACATTTTTTTATGCTGTTTTGACATTCAATGTATTCATAATTTCCAGCACACCTTTTACAAGCTGTTTCGTTCTTGCATTTCTTTGCGAAGTGGCTGTAGCCCCAGCATTTGTAGCAGCGCACTACACTCACATAATCGTACACATGACAATTTTTCCATCCAATTCTCATCCTTTGTTTTTCTACTAAGAACTTGTGTGTGTACTGATCTACATCTAGAATCATCGTAGTCGCCTGGTTTCGCACATTAATTTTTTTAACTATTCTCATTTTAGATTTATTCTTTTCCGTACTTATTTCATTTTGAATGCTTATTTTTTCGATAAAGGCTTCGTCCTCTTTTCTTATTTGTTCCTCTATCCCGACTACTTTCACTTTAGGGAGATTTTTATTTGGTTCATATGTATATTTTGTACTACGTACCTAGCTTTTCCGTAAGAGCCTCTTTCAATATTTCCTTATCTTTCGTTTTCTCACATTCAAGTGTGATTCTTCCCTTTGGGCCTTTAATAAATCTCTCTACATTCGCTCCTAGCTGCATAATATTAACGTTTTGTTTTATAATCCCTGCTGTGCTTCCACTCTCTTGCTCTCTAACAGGTTGTACTATAATTTCATTTTTCTTACTCTTCTGAACTGCTTGTGCGTATGATTCTTTAATTTTATCACTTCTTGAGATACTACTTTTATCACTTTGTTTTTCATTACTTTTCCTAACATTACTCGTCTTATCTTTTACCATTTCCTCTATTTTAACTTTTAAACATTTGATTTCGTCTGTCAATTCTTGTGTTAATTTGTTCACTTGTTCTGTTATAATTTCCTCTATGACCACTTTGAATTGATAATTCATAATTTCTGTTATTAATTGTTGTTTTAACTGTTTGAATTCTTCTCTCATTACTTTTTCCATTAACTTTTTAATTTCACTAATAGAGCTATGCTTGTCATTTATTTCCATTCTATTGTTTAGTATATCTTCATGTTTATCATCCTTTAGTACTTCTGTAATGTCCTTCTTTGTCTCCTCCTCATCGTCTTTCCCGCGCTTCTTTATTTGAGATCTTCATCCTTATTATCCGCCGAAATTGCAACAATCTCGATTTGACCCCTGCATGTGACCAGTTGATTCTTTGCGTTAATCACCTTATGCAATTTAGCACATGACGGATGGAATGATTTTATACATAATTTACATTCATGTATAACTGATTTTATTTTTTTTCTACACAGCCTACATTTTATTTTCTTTGGAGTATTCATCTTGTACTTCTATAGCACCCGCTTGTGCCGCCCATTTAAGGATTCCCGGCTTGATTGTCCCTGTTCAACAATTTTATTGACGCTAATATTAGTCGGGTCTATTTTCGTGTGTCCCTCTCTATTTCCGCGCCACTGTCTTCGCGCCCCTCAAAGCCTACGCCAGCCGTGCTTCGCCCGAGATTCCCGGTAAACAAATGACTAGGTCGAATAAATAACCAAGTAGATGGATCTACCAAGTAAAAATCAGACGGCAAACCAAAAGATTAAAAGTCCGGTAAGACGTCCAGCTGATCAGTGCAGGAGTAAAACGAATGCTGTAAAGTCAAGCAGGATAACCCTTGACACCGCGACACTAGAAAAGAAAGGCTCGAAAGGGCAAAAGGCGGCAGAAAATCGGCACACAACAGAGAGCGACAAGAAACACGTTTAATTCAACTCACCGAGAGAGAGAGAGAGAGAGAGAGAGAGAGGGGGGGGGGGCGCACGATAAGTTTTTCGTGACAAATCTATTTTTCATGAAACCTATTATTTAAATGTTGTCTGACAAGAGATAAGTGTCTTATAATAACATATGTATCTTTATTATACCTTATAACTCGGAAACTAATGATTGCTAGACGTATATTTATTTTCTTGTTTGTTCTGATGAGTACTATTTATACGTATTTATACGTATTTATACGTAAACAAAGTTTGTATCATATATATATATATATATGTGTACATATACATATATATGCATATACATATATATACAATAATTATAAAGTTACACATACATGTATGTGTAATTTAGATTTAAAAAAATGAAAAGTTATTGATAGAAACAATTATTGTATTTTAATTAATTATTGGTAATAAAATGGCGATTATTTAATTTGGTTCTTTATTTTGTAAATCGCATAAACTTAGTACATGTTTAAAGTATTATTTTCATGCATTATAGGCAAATTGTTAGAAAAAAATGGTTATATACTGCCGATCAAAGAAAGAGATAACATAAAAAATAATATATTTATAAAAATTATTGCATATTCTAAACATATAATGCATAAAATACAGAGAGAGAGAGAGAGAGAGAGAGAGAGAGAGGAAACGTTTCTCAATAATGTGTAATTACATAACTCTAGTTTTTAGTAACCTGTTTATAAATTTATTAATACAAAACAAGTAATGAATACAATTGTGATAGAGAATGATAGGATAACATGATTATATATATATATTATATTCGCAAGCGTCTACACTCTTACACGCGTGTAATTAATCTGTTTCTAAGATTCTCGATCAAAACTAGTAATAACAAGCAAAACATAAAAAAACGGTCAAGTCACCATCACTTCCTTTATTAACTTATATAACAAAATATAGAAATTGTATGTACTTATCTTCTTTTATTTCCGTCACATGCAACGACAACATGAACATGTAACTTGTTATACTTTATAATTAAACAACCATCGCAAGCGTTCATTTCATATATAAGATAGTGGTTCACGATGCGATATCTTTCAGTATACTTAAAAACATTGATATAAGCAGCACATACTTAATATATGTCCTACAATACCGATTGTCATACATACGGTGGAAAATTATTATTGATAGACGCTTCTTTTTAGTAAAGGTAATATCGGATTACGAATTATTGTAACATGATCTAACATATATCACTGCATAAGAAACATTGAGTTAGAATAAAATCTTAGACAAACTGCACATTTTTATAATAGATTATATGTAAGTTTGTTTTATTTCCATTAGAAAAAATATATAAAACAGAGTATATTAATTATTATAAATTTTCAAGTTTTAACGCGTTAATTATCTTAAACAAGCTCAAATAATATTTAAAAAAATTTATTAGAGTAAATAAAGCTGACTTCAAATTAAATACGATGTATTTTTTGTATATATGTGCAACAGAAAATGCAGTACTTATTAAATCTGCGAGAAAAAATAAAAAAAGTTTATTCTTGATATTGTTTAACAGAGAAAGAGAGGGGAGAGGGAGGGGGGAGAGAGAGAGAGAGAGAGAGAGAGAGAAAGATGTTTTGTACATATAATAGAAAGGCAACTACATATATGTATTCAGAAAAAGAATTGTGCATATAAATGCTGTCGAAAGTTGTGGTCTTTTGCGCTATTTTGATACATTTTTACATGTCAATACTTCATTTTTCTCATTTTCATGATCTTACCATGTATGTAGATCTTTTTGCTTCTTTAAATTTAATGTTATCATTTGATGGTGTTTTGAATGGTACAAATGTTAGAAGCATAAAAAAAGTTTAAAATTGGATGTGTAACATTTTTGTAAATTTGGTTTTCAACACTGAAATTATTTATTGTTATATTTTAGACAAGAATATATCAACTCGTGATGTTACTCGCGGAATTAATCGGGGTTTTCATTATTACTCTGAGTGTTGTATACATATATTATAAATATGTGTTGCTCAATTATTGGCGCAAAAAGGGTGTTTTTTATGTCGAGCCTACTGTGCCAGCTGGTAATTTGACACCTTATGTGACTGGAAAAGTGTCAGTAGGTGAGTATCTTTACATAAAACTAATAATAATGCATTTAAGGATATTTTGGCTGTGCAATAATAGCTGTCGAATTTTATAATAGTAGTCAAAATTTAAAAATATTTTTTAAGTTTATACTGTTTGAAAAATCAATAAATAAATCTCTGGATTATAAAAAGAATTAAAGTATCACAAAATAATATGGTTTTTAACATTTTCATAAAAAAAATAGTTGTAATTAATATCTTTACTAATTTATGTCACCTTTTCTCGGTTAAAATATTTGTATAATTTTTTATTTTCAATTGGCGCAATATTTTATATTATTATTTATGTAGAATATATTTGTACAACTTTTTTTGTTAAAATATTTTTATAAGTTTTTATTTTCAATAATTTAAAATAACACTATTTTGTGCCGATTAAATTAAAGTAACACTATTTTATAAATATATATAACAGTTTTTCACAACTGATGCTTGTACTTGGCGCATTTTTTTACCTTTTTTTACCTTTTTTTTAAAAGGTAAGTTTTTAGGGATTATAAGTGACTCATTCGCTTTTGGTGCTCTTGCGCGGCATGAAAACAAATATTATGACGAATTACATCAGAGAATACAAAATGCCTGTTAAATAGTTAAAACAAAGCCGGGAATTTGTTAAAGAGTTAGCAATTTTATGGTACAAAGATGTGAAACGTGTGTGGAAATGAGGGCAAAATGTAGAAAACCTGCTGTAAACTTTGCAATTTAAAGAATTCTTTTTTTTCTTCTTTTGCAAGAACAATTTCTTTTTTTGGATGGTAAGGTAATTTGTTGTTGAAGAATTGTTCATAACTCCGACAATATTAATTTTTCGACCCATGTTTATTAGGACTTTTTTCCTTCATTTCGTGAGTACTATCTGCTTTTAAAGTCCTAAATCTTTTTTTTAACACCCTGTATATAGGAAAAGGGAGTGTGATATTCTTTATTAATATAGAAATCTGATCAAAATTAAAAAAGTTCAAGTTATATTTGAAACAAGAAATTAATTAGCAAACGTAAAACACAATATGTGTCAAACATAAGATTACGGTTACTATGGGAATAATTTCTCTCTAATTAAAAAGAAATAAATATACTTCCGAGACATTGGCCGCATTCAGCGCACACAACAGTTGCGGATCGCTCTCTCTCCCAGCGCTTTTTTCCGCTGAATGGTTTGCAGTGAGCGCTCGATATTACTCGACATCTGATCGACACGTGTTTTATTTTAACCAAGATAACACAGACGATATATGACAACTCACAACAGTTGCGTCGATGCAGCATAAAAATTTTTGCTAGGAAAAATGGCATCCGCTGCCACAACGTGTTGTGGGAGCGCTTCAGATCATAGGCCATTCAGCGCGTAAATCCGCAATTATTTTGTGCGCTGAATGCGCCCATGTGTTCTTTTTCTAATTTTGGCGCACGAATTGCTAATAGATAACATAAGGGCTGCGTTCCGATATTCAATATATCAGTATTGAAAATCTATAGTGTACGTACGTGACGTAAACTATAGATTTTCAGTACTGGCAGTGAATATCAGAACGCAGCCATAATATGCGCACTTTATACTTCCTACGTTTATAGTTTTTATGCGCGCGCGCACGCACGCATGCACCCACGCATACACGCACACACACACAATCAATAGTTTATTTTGCTATATTATTGTATCTCTACTTGAAAAGTTGCTGAATTGAATGTGAGATTTGTCAATAGGTGAACTCTTCCGTGATGCTTATATGAAATATAAGGATCATCGTGTCTTTGGGATGTATGCATTTTTCAAGCCAAATCTGGTAATCGCCGATCTCGATCTTATTCGAACAGTTTTGGCCAAAGAATTCGGGAGTTTCCATGATCGTGGGATGTTTTGTAATGAGAAGATTGATCCACTGTCTGGCCATTTGTTTTTATTGCCTGGGAAAAAATGGCGAAATTTACGTGTAAAGTTGACACCCACTTTTACTTCAGGAAAAATAAAGCAGATGTTCATGATTCTGAAGGAATGCGGCGAAGAGTTTGCGAAAAATTTAGAGAACAAAGCTCAGATGAGAGATTGCATTGAGATAAAAGATATATTTGCAAGGTAAGCCATTTTTATAAATAAAAGTGAGCATTATTTAAAGAAAAATTTTTAAATAATAAGTAAATGCCCCGTAATTTGGAATGAAATGCAAATTAAAATTGCAAATGCACATCAAAAACATAAGTAGCTCGTTCTAAGGTTTGTTCTGTATAGCTGCACTGAATTGAACTTAATTAGTGCAAGCGAGGACAAGCTAGTGTGAACAAGTATAAAGAACGTTTCAGTGCTATTCAGTGCAGTGATCAACATGGCGCACCACATAATATTAAACAAATTATCAGAAAATATTATATAATATAAAATTATTATAATTTATTATTAACAATAAATATAATTTTATGTTACATAACAGAATAAAAAAACTTTTATACACAAAACTAGCTTTTATAATCAAAGAATTTTCTTTAAATTTGATAAAAGTTAACCCTATCACTTAATTTTCTTAAATTCGGATTAAAGTACAATTTCAGTTTATAATTTAATTTTAAGAGAATTGCTAATTACTTTAATATTAAATAGCTTATTTTAATATTTAATAGATTACTTTAACATTTATAATAAGTTATAGTTACTTTTTATAACTATTTATAAAATTAAATCTCCCACTACTATCAACTTATCCAGTTCTTGCACTGCTTGTTCTTCCTCAAGACTCACAAGGAAACTTCGCGAATCCGAAAATTCTGATTTTGATGAAATTTTACAGACATATAAAGAAGATCAATAGATGAATTTAGAAATTTTCAGTTGCTGCCCAAAAACGGTTCTAAGGGGTGAAAGCACCCCTCATATGTGGAGCGGCTTTTTGCTTTTCTCGATATATCTCAAAAACTATTCGAGATATCAAAAAATGTTTTATACAAAAGTTTTATGGTAAAAGCAGCTCTATTTAATCACATTAATAAAAATTTTAAAAAAATTATTTTTTTTTTAAAGATTTATTTGATTAATTATATTTTTAAGTCATATGTTCATTTCGCCTGATTTCGTCTTATTTATAATAACAATGTCGTTTAATTCGCCCGATTACTCTTGTAATTCGAGATCGTTTTTCTTTTTATTTACAATAACAATGTCACGCCGTTTGCTGTTTGTATGTATTTATTGTTATTGACTCCTTTGTTTTTTCTCGTCACCTTGTTATGCTCACCATCTATCATTAGTACGTTGATAATCGTTGAGCCTGGTTCTCCTAATTTATACAATGTATGTACTTCTGACATCGACTTTGCGCGCGGAGCGTGGATTTTGTGAGTTGCATTCTAATATTCAAGCTTCAGTGTCACTCTCTCACACCATTTGTTTAATCCGTCTAACATTAAATCATATTTGTACAGATCAGATTGACATGATCACGGATTTTTTTCTACACGGAACTTCTACAATACCTCAATGATGTGAGAGATTACCGGTCTTTATTTTAATTTATATTATTTATTCCCTTTACGACCACTGTTTTATTGTCATACCGGTCTTTATTTTAAGTTATTTATTTATTTATTATTATTTTAACTTTCTGCAACAATGTTATTAGTGCAATGAGTAAACTGTTACACTAAATTTTGTTGCACTGCAATAAAGCACGGGTTTGTGCTGTGTTTCATTGCAATAAAGAACGTTTCGATGTCACAAGTGTATATACACTAGTGCAGAAAATTCAGCTATAAAGAACAAACTTATAGGATAAATGTTATTTCTATTACAAATTTTGCGATCGATTTAGAATCAATTTTTGCTGAATGAAACTGTTGAATCATCTATAGTTTTCGATTAATTGAACAATAACTGGAACAATTGGAAATAAAAAGAGTTATTGACAAACAAAATTTCGGAAAAGAAAATGTGCATAATACAGGGTGTTTATTTGAAAACTTTCCATTCTGTTTATTTTGTGATCAACTAATTTTTGCAAAAAATGTTTCGTACAAAAGTTTTATGACTTCGAGGGGGACATAAGATGGTGCCATTGCTTCAACTTTGGATAGTCGTTTGAAGATTATGTGAAGGTTACCTTCAATTTCTTAAACGGAAACCCCCTTTTTTCATTGCATATTCTTGTAGCTTACCTCAAGAGCTTTTCAAGACACTATAATAAAGTTCTTTTCCATTAAGTATTTTTCAAATTATGAGGCTTGAAAGGTCTATACCTTTAGCGGTACTATTATCGCTAGCATTAGTATTACCCGAAAGTGATTTTTACGTAACCTTAACAATGCTATTTAAAATCACACTAACATTTCTACTTAATGCGCCATTTAAAACCCTACAACTTTTATTTAAAACCTTTTTCTCAAAAATGTTTTACTTTCGAGATTTGAGAAAAATGTTTCAAATAAAAATTGTAAAATCTTAAGTGGCGCATTAAGCAGCAATGTTAGTGAGGCTTTAAAGCATTGTTAAGGTCACGTTATAATCACTTTCAGATAATACTAATACTGGCGGTAGTGTATTTTTCAAGCCTCATAACTTGGAAAATACTTAATAGAAAAGGTTGCCGGTTAGAAACTGATAAATTTCTGTTTATGACTTTTTTATGTCAAATTATTGTAAATGCCTTAAAAATCGTGGCGACCGTTACGAGGACCACCCTGTATATGTACATTATATAAGAACAGCTTTAGAGTTTTCTTCTAAAGTGTTTCTGCCCAAGATTACTCTGAAATAATGATATCTTATTTAAACTTAGCAACTGTGAATAAACTTACCATGTTGGAAGCAGCTGCACAAGCTTATGTTTTCTTCTTGGCTGGCTTTGAAACTTCCTCGACAACGGCGACATACTGTTTATACGAATTAGCTCAACATCAAGGTATACAGGATAAAATTCGTCAGGAAATTGACGAAATGTTAAAACAGCATGGTGGATTAACTTATAATGCTGTGAATGAAATGATATATCTTCATAAAGTAGTAAATGGCAAGTACGATATATGAGTTTTATGCACACATATATATATAATATTTGATAATAACTGTTATATTTTAGAAAAAATAATTTTTTTACATACTGCAGAAACTATGAGAAAATATCCGCCTGTACCTGTCTTAAATCGCGTCTGCACCAAGGAATTAGATCTTCCAACAACAAATATTCACGTGACAGAAGGGACGTTAATTACTATACCGGTATTCGGATTGCATCGAGATCCGTCGATATATCCGCATCCAGATAAATTTGATCCTGAACGATTCAACGCGGATAAGATAGCAGCTAGACATCCTTATGCTTACTTGCCATTTGGGGAAGGACCACGAGTTTGTATTGGTAAGAATAATCTTATTTAATTTACATATTATATACCATTTTTATTTATCAATTTTGTGTGCCATTATTGCTTAACAATCATTATCAATATAATGACAAAGCTCCTATGAAATCAAAACAAGTACACAAATAGGCTTAAGGAGCACGCAAACATCAAATAAATATAAACTTATAGACATTAGTGTCTTGGAAAATACTTAATAGAAAATAACTTTATTATAGTGTTTTGAAAAGCTCTTGAGGTAAGCTACAAGAATATGTAATGAAAAATGGGGGTTTTCATTTAAAAAATTGAAGGTGATCTTCACATGATCTTCAAACAACTATCCAAGATCAAACCAATGGCACCATCTTATGTCCCCCTCGAAGTCATAAAACTTTTGTACGAAACATTTTTCGCAAAAATTAGTCGATTACAAAATAAATAGGGTGAAAAGTTTTCAAATGGACATTCTGTATACATACACATCTTACATATGGTGCACATAATTATATCGTTTAGTTAATTTCAAATAAATATGTAACTTTGATACATGTTTAATTAAGAAAGATTAATTAAAATAATATTAAAACTATTAGATATTCGACGGATATTATTATGTCAACGGCTTTTGGAATCAAGTCTAACTGCATGGAGGAGCCAAATAACGAATTTCGACATTGGGGGAAAAAAATCTTTGAAGAGAGGCCCTTTTGGAACGCTCTGTTAATGTTTGCACCCCAAGTTATGGATTTCTTTTCCATTCCCTTCACGGATCGGGGTGTCACTAAATTCTTTATGAAAATGTTTCGAGATAACGTGGAATATAGGCAAACTCATAATGTTGTCAGACATGATTTTATGAATCTCCTCATACAACTCATGGAGAAGGGCTATGTCGAAGCTGACGATGAGAAAGATGTTAACGATATATCTTGTAAATAAGTATTTAATGTTGATTTAAAATTAACTGCTTTTACTTACTCTTATACACACCTCTCCACACAACTGTTTTCTTTACGCCTTTACAAACAGAGTTACATAGTTATAAAAATGATAATATGCATACAAACATATATGTATATTCCCCAAAAACACAAAATAAAAGTAACATTACATCAATGTTATAATTTCCCACTCAGTAATATAACTGTTATGTACAAGGTATGTTACATTGCAGTTACATTGTTGTGTGAGAAATCATAATATTGATGTTATGTTACTTTTATTTTGTGTTTACTGAGTTGGATGTCACTTAAAGACCGCCCATTAAGTACATAGCGTTATTCCTTACCAAAAAATGAGTCGAACAGTTCTGAATCATTTTTTTCTATAAAGCGCACACTTACCAGGTTCACTAATGTGCACCCGGTTAAAGATTGACAAATAGGCTTAAGGAGCACGCAAACATCAAATAAATATAAACTTATAGACATAAAAATAATAGGCGCGTCTTAACGATTAAAATAACGGAATAACGCGGATCGCAAATATATAAAAAACGCGAATCGCTGACGCTGATTGGCCTGACTTTACTCAATAATTACTCCTTTATTAAGTGTTATAGAAAAAAATAATTCAAGACTTTCCGACTCATATTTTGGTAAGGAATAACGCTATGTACTGAATGGGCGATCTTTAAGTAACACCCTGTATATGCACACATAACACACATATACGAATATATTTAATATATACATGCACAGATTTATTTATAAAGATACTGATTATACAGGGTGGTTATCGTAACGGTCGCCACACGAATCGCAACAATGTAATAAAATTCAATAAAATTCAAACGTTTCTGTCCATAACTGGACTCTCTTCAGTGATAAAAATTAACGGTAAAATACGGTCTAAAAAGTCATAAATATTAGCGGTCAGCAGGTAAGAACAGAAATTCAGAAAGTCAAAAAAAAGGATGGTCAAAAGTTGTTTAAGAGCCCTCCAAAAGGTACGGTCCGTGAGTAAATCAAATCAATTCATTATCCACCACAAAGTTTTCCCAAGAACTTGTGAGAAGAAATTTTTAAGTCAGACAGACGTCTGGAAATTTAAAACAGTGGTGGGATAATGAGAACAAAACATTGTAATTATCTTCGTTTACCAAAAGCGACTCATCCAAGGAGGGCCCACGCCTGACGCCAGAGATATGTACGGACCTCACGTAACAGTAACGCTCCGCAGTCAAACTCTAACTGTCAAGTAGGCGCGGGAGACAAACACATACAAAAACAAGGAGAATCAACGAGGCAAACAAATAGGCATAAAATTAAAATTAAAGGCGGTAAATTTGAAATCTTACCGAGTTTATCAATGATCGGTAAGTATGAGGGGTCAAGTAACTCCGTGTCGCTTTGCAAGTTTAAACCTGACTTCTGTCTTTTTATAAATAACATTTCGGAAGTAAGTCTTCTTGTATAACAAGGCTCATTGTCCATGACCCGTACATTGTCCTAATCAAAATCATGATTTTCATTGATTCTATGCTCCGATATCACAGAATTCTGAGAACGAGCTCTGTTTATATGATTTCGATGTTCCCTTATACGGGTCTCTAACAATCTCTTCGTTTGGCCAACATTAGAAGCATTGCAGTTTTTGCAATCAATCTTATATACTATGTTATTATGATATGTTTGAGACAGTAAGTCTTTTTGTACCTTTATGACGCGAAGTCCGTACATAACTCTGACATCTGGCGTGGGCCCTGCTTAGATGAGTCGCTTTTGGCAAACGAAGATAATTACACTGTTTTGTTCTCATTATCCCACCACTGTTTTAAATTTCCAGGCATTTATCTGACTTAAAAATTTCTTCTCACAAGTTCTTGGAAAAACTTTGTGGTGGATAATGAATTGATTTAATTTACTCACGCGCGCGCGCGCGGACCGTACCTTTTGGAGGGCTCTTAAACAACTTCTGACCATCCTTTTTTTTTGACTTTCTGAATTTTTGTTCTTACCTGCTGACCGCTAATATTTATGACTTTTTGGACCGTATTTTACCGTTAATTTTTATCACGGAAGAAAGTCCAGTTATGGACAGAAACGTTTGAATTTTATTGAATTTTATTACATTGTTACGATTCGCGTTTTTTATATATCTGCGATTCGCGTTACTCCGTTATTTTAATTGTTAAGACTTGCGCCTATTATTTTTATGTCTATAAGTTTATATTTATTTGATGTTTGCGTGCTGCTTAAGCCTATTTGTGTACTTGTAATCATTATCAATCTTTTAAATGTACAATTTTTTTTATATAAACTTTTTATGGTAATTTGAGATATAAATTAGCAGCGCGATTGGATATTTTAATATTTATATTTTTAAAAATTTACAATCGTATTAAATGTTTTCTTCATATACTATAGTAGATATATTTCTTGCGATAATATTAAGAAATATTTAAAAATGTTTTTTTTTTAATATTTGATTTGATTATTTTAGTATTTTTTATTGAATCAATCATGTTAATTGTTCTATTAAAATATTTTAGTGAGTCGTATTTATTTTAATGCAATAACACATTTTATTCGAAATGCCATATACATGTGTATATTACTTTTAAGTCTGCATTGTGATATAATCTTTCGCAAATACATTTATGAGAGATATTTAATTAAAATAACATATTGATCTTATGTATAGTTTTGTATGCGTTTATAATATTCATGTGCGAATCAATAATCTTTTTTTTTAAATTGTACCAAAATATCTGTGATACAATTTAAAAATCCTAGATTATAAGCTATTTCGTCGCTATCAATGCCTCAACATCATTAATTCTTAGGTACCAGATTTGGCTACATGCAAACAAAAATTGGACTCGTAAGTCTTTTGTCAAAGTACAAGTTTAAACTTCATCCTCGAACTCCGGTTCCGCTTACTTTTGATGAAGCGCCTATTGTACTTACGGTCAAAGGCGGTGTCCATCTTATCATCGAGCCGCGATAAAATAACATTCTTGAGCTGAAGTGAAATTTCTGCTCGATCCGTCCAAAAAGTATTGCTGAATCAAAGTGTAAGCCTGTTTTTTGTATTATAGTTTATTTTTGTTATTTATATATGCTTTACTATTATATCAAATCGCAATTCAATATTGCACATTTGCAGAGTTGGGGAGTAACGCGTTACTTCTAACGCCGTTACCGTACAGTTACTTTTTTTCGGTAATTGTAATGGTAACGGCGTTACAAATTTCGTTTGTAATGGAAAAAGTAACTTTGTTACATTTTTTGATAACGAATAACGAATTTAACAGTTATTTCTATCGTTACTTTTTTCGAATTTACTCGGTATAATTTTCAAAAGGAGCATATTGATAAGAGTATTGGAATGCAGTATTACATGAAAATTACTGAAAGCTCATTTTAGTATCTTGTTTCTTTCTACTTTATACGACAATGTTTAAAAATTTTTAATGTTTAGTATAAATTTTTAGTGTTTATTTGATCTTGTATTAAAAAAATTGTATGTAAAGTTTGTATTGTACATAAAAAAAGTAACGGAAATTGTAATGATTCGTTATTTTTTGAGTGACGGTAACGAGTAACGAGTTACTTTTTAGAAAAAAGAATAGTAACGGTAACGAGTAACTTTTATAAAGTAACTTTCCCAACTCTGCACATTTGAAACATACAATTAATTATAATTAATTAAAAATATACTTCTTTGAACTTGTTAATAGACTTATTTGTTAATACATCTAATTGTTTTATAAATGGGCTGCGATAAATTGATCATACTTGAATTATCTTTTTTAATTGGACAATTTTGGAAAATGTATTGTTTTTTCACATGTGTATGTTATACTTTATAATACACTACACACTAGCTATATATTAAGTACACATACAAGACACACATATGTGGGTGTCTGTACATATCTGATCGGATTGCATAAAATTTATTCGCGTTGGAGTAAAGTAGTGTTTAATTGACCGATATTTTAAACAACTGATATAGTATCTTATCATCTATATTTTTAATCATTTCAATGTCTTACTTTGCCAAAACATATCAATCCTCGATGTTAAATAATGATCTACACAATCAGGCATTTTTCATTAAATTTTTATTAAGGAAAAATTAACGTAATATGTATATACACCAGAAAGTTTGTGCGCGCGAAACGACTGAAGAATAAGTTTAGACATTCCTCGGGAAAGGAAGAGAAAAACGTACAGTTTAGGATGGCAACAATATTTTATTGTGCAGTCTGGCAGGTAAACGTACAAATGATGATAATGCGCACAATCGCTGAATCTCATTGATTAGAAACGAGCAAAAGAGACCCAGGCATCTTTGTGTATAGCGCCGCCATGTCAATGGGCAAGTGACGCCGTACACTTGCAAAGGGATGAATCGCAAGGGAAGAGGCGCGAAGCAGGGTATGGCCTTTAAAGGTGATAATTCTTATAACTTAATGCATCTACGGGCAAGGTGTTGGCCAGACTGAGAGGCTCGTCGGCGGTGGCGGCGTGCAAAGAGACCGGATGATGATTTGCGGTCGCAGACGCAGCCGCGGTGTTGGCCGCGTACGCGGCTGCAGCCGCTGCATTGCTCTGCGCGGCTTGGGCGGCATTGGCGGCCTTTTGCGCCGCCGCCTGCGTTGTGTCAAAATCTAAGCGCGCCGCCGCGAGTTGCTCAGCTATCGTTTCAGCACGCGCCTTAGCTTGGCCCACCATCGTCGTTTGCGCGGCCAGCTCGGCCGCAGCTTCCGATGCCGCTTGTGCAGCATGTTCGGCGGTCGCTTGCGCCGCGTTTAACGCTGTGGTTATCACTTGCACCTGATGCATTGCTTGTTGCGCCGCATTTCTTGCAGCTGTGGCCGCACGTTGGGCCTGTTGAAGTTGTTGCTTCTCACCGTCTACCGCGACTTGCGCGTCCCTTGACTGTTGTTCCAGACCCATCACGATAATCTGTTTGCCGGCCAAGGCTGCAGCGGCTGTCGCCGCGGATTGCGCTGCCGCTTGGGCCAGCGTATTCTTGGCTACATATGCCGCCTGTCCAGCCGCTGATGGTTGCTGATTCAACTGCGTGTGAGCCTGATCAGCGGCTCCTGTAACCAAGGTATCCGCACACGTAAATGGGGCACGAAACGCGCTCGCTTTCATTTTATATATATATATGTATATATAGAGAGTGATTTTAAAGATTACTGACAAACTTCAGAAGCGTATAAAGGAGTCGGAATATAGTAACTTTCGACTAGGAACCCACGTTCTTTGAAGTAATCGGTATAAGCCTATCTTGACGCTTCTTGATTACTTCTTTTGTGGGCATATCAAAAGCTTCCTTTACGAGACACCGGTGGACGATCCAGAAACACTTGTAGCCTAAATACTTGCAGCATCTAACGTGGTCCGGGATATGCCTGGAGTATTTGATGAAGTGCGCCAAAGTTTCGTTCAATGAATGCTTGCATTGTGATGGACTTTGAACACTTTTTGTAATATTGTATTATATTATTGTGTTCATATAACCTTTGGTTAGTTATTAAATTTTGTACAAATTGAGATTATTTCTCTCATTGGAATGTTGTCCACAACACGGCTCTGACACTCTTCTATACCACCTATACTGAACGGTGGCAAAATAATGATGCCGGCCACTACGTAGCGCTAGTAGGATACCTTGTCCGCTTCAATTTCAGAATTCAGAATCCGCGTTTTAATTAATTGTATTTGAGAGTGAAATATGCGTACATTAATGTTTGTGTACATTAGGGTAAGTTGAAGTAAGCCGGCCAAGGTATCCTACTAGCGCCACGTAGTGGGCGGCATCATTACGTAGTCAGCTATAAACTTCATGTGTCCTGTCCTTATATATAGTAAGTTCGTGATCCACAATGTAGTTCCTTTTATTCAAAGGCTTGTATCAACTCAGGATTACTTCAGAGAACATGCGGGTTCCTAGTCAAAAGTTACTATATTCCGACCCCTCTATACGCTCCTGAAGTTTGTCAATAACCTTTAGAATCACCCTGTATGTATATAATATTGTACATCGCGCAATGCTATATTATCTCTATTTACGAGTATTACAATTACTTATTGCTCGCATCGACATTATCGCGCGGGATGAAAAAAAAAGAATGATTCCTAAGTTTAAACATATCTAACCTTTAGCTATACTGGCTAAAGGGCCACCCACACTATAACCAGGCCGAATAAGACTTGAGCGATGACCACTCGCAGCTACTGTCGCGACGGGCACTGCTTCGACATAATGAGAATTTGACTCGATCAATCCTAATGCGGGTGCACCATGATCCACATATTCAAACTCATAATTATCAATTATTTGTTGATCGTGAATCTGCTTTTTAGCTTTGCTGCAATACGTGAGGGTCACGCAAACCAGGAATACCAACAGGATCTTCATGTTGAAGTATTGAATTTTTCTTGCGATTAATAAATATCTGTAAAAGTCAAAAATTAATAGAAAGTTAAAACAAAGCTAAAACAAAGTTAAAATTAATTAATTAATTTTTAGAAAAAATGTAAATTGCGATATAATTATTTAATTATTTAATTTTAAAATCTTTTTGCATTGACTTAAAGTTCTATACAGGTAAATGAATTCTGTAAAACATAAGATATGTAAAAGAATTCACATAGCAAACGATTCTTATATTGCTTCAGTATAAATCTTTATATTATGACTATGAAAAAAAGTAAGAATGGTATTCGAGTTTATAATTTATTTTTTAGACGCGTAACAGCGGATATGCAAGATGATACTGAATTTTTTTTTGTGTCCCGCGATTATCTCTTTTGATACTTTTTTCTCTCATTGACTATACGTAGAGGTGAATTTGTCAATTGATCACGATAATCAATATTCATTCGCACATTCGATTACGTTAGAAAAACATAACACAACGCAATATTAATGGAACCGATTTGCGGACTCAATTTTAAAACTAGTTAAGCATGACTACATCAATGCAAATGTGAATAAATTTTGAATGAGATTTGTATAAATATTGAACTATGCTCTTACTACATTTTCGTATATTAATTATTTCTTTAAGTAAAATTCATTCTTTTCTTTTTTTTTTTTCAAGAAGAGAGAATGAAATTACTACATCGTGTATCGAAAAATATTGGAAATCTCTAAAGTGCGGCGATGCATTTCAGATTTCATTATTTATGTTGATTCAGTTTCGTAATTGCTTTTTCTCTGCCTGGCTTGTTTCTATCACGAAAATTTCTTTCGAGTTCCGTCAACGATGCGCATGACTGCACGATGAGCCTGATTGGTTGAGTATAAATCAATTCAGGCGTGAAAAAAGAAAACTATTGTGCCGCGGCGATGATACGGTATCATGTTGCATAATAATTGATCGCACTGCAATGTTGCTTTGATTAAGCGGCCAGAGAAAGTGACGCATAAAAACTGAAAGAAAATCACGAAAGTGATCGATATATCATACCGATCGATATACAGTGGATAAGTGATCAAACTGATACGAGATGATCATTTACACGACTGTATCTTGGAATTGAATCTCTTTATGTCATATATTATTTAATAAAGAAAATTAAAAGTAGAAATGCCGATGCATAAATGATTAGAATAACTTGTATGTATATACACGTGCTTATGACGCACGCACCACCTTTCCGAGTGTCGCAATTATACATCACAATCACTTAAAATCGAAAACCCGGTTTCGTTTCGCTCTGAAAAGCGCTCGTGTACGTCATTTGTATTATGAGATTTTTATCTTATATGAGATCCGAGCTAACGTAAGCGATACAACACTATATAGATAATGGATAGCTATAAAGTCATAATTGAAGTTGCTTGCAAATACGATTAGAATCTAAATTTACGTTTTAATCACACACATACAGAATATTTTAATATTATATTTATATAATATTTTATATATAACAATATATAAACAATATATATATGGTATACGTATATATATATATATATAACTAATGTGCATTTTCTTTATTTTCTCCGATATTAATTAAAAATAATTATGTAAATAACAAAATGTGATTAATAGGTTTATAATAGAATAATTTCTCCCAAATTTTCATTTTTGTCTTTGTAACAAGGCATTTTTGATAGGTTCTAGTTATATCATTACAATATATGATTTTGTATAAATTAAGAAACACACTAGGTTTTTTACATTTTCGAGCGAGTAAAGTTCGAAATGTATAAAAACTTTTGATTCTTCCCCGCGCAGACAAATTGATCACATTGACTATATTTTATATCAATCTACGTTCTCTTAGTTTGACTATTAACAAAAATATAAAACTGATTTATATGTGTGATTTATATGACGTTATATGACGATTTATATGATTTATATGACGTTTCTCATACAATTCCTATGGAATTACATTACACATGTTATAAAAAGTTAAATTATTCAAATTATAAGGTAATATCTCTGATTTGTATGTAAACTTTTTAATGGAAGCTAAAAATAACTCTCTCACTTTGTACTGCATAAAAAAGAAGATTTTTATTTGTTATTAAAGATGCGATTAATTTCAAAAAAGTAACAAGTAAACCGCAAATTTAAAAAATATCAATATTAATATCAATATGTAATATTTTTTACAGCTATTTATTTAAATATACAAAGCAACAGCAAAGATATGTGTATAATTAGGTGAATAAAATTTATTAATAATGCATAGCAAATAAATAATAAAATTGATTTATTATTATTGGTTTTGTTACACTAATATGAATTATTTATGTCAAGATTAGATTACAAAACGAAATGATATTGCATGCTAGTGATTTCAAAATTGATTTTTATTCCGACACTCGCTAATTGTTTCGAAAAATAGAAGACAAATAAGAAGAGAGAGAGAGAGAGAGAAAGAGAGAGAGAGAGAGAGAAGGGGAGGAGAGGACATATTCTACCGAAATTCTTAAGGATGCTTTGGCTGTACAATAGTAAAAAGCTGTACAATACAAAAAGCTGTCGAAATTTTAAAAAAAGAACATATTTCTTACGTTTATTTTTGTTTGAAACACAAAATAATATGATTTTTAATGTTTTCGTAAAAGAAAATAGTTGTAATTAAGATTTTTCCTAATTTATGACAAAAACTTTTGATCATAAATACCTGAAATCAATTGCAAGAAACAAAAAAAACGAATAATTTACAGAAAGATTTCGGGTTAGGTACAATAAATATTTCTCTACAATTTTTACTAAATAACTTTTAAACGTGAGTAAGTGAATCAAATCAAGCACAAATATTTTTTAGAGTTTTTTTTAATATATGAAAATTTCTTAATAGATGAAAATTTTTATTTTGCTGACAATGTTTCTTCCTTGTCAAATTTGTCAATGAGTGCTACAATACGCGCTTTTTTATAAGAATCAATACAAACTTTAAACTTAAATAATTTCCAAACCGTTAAGAGAATTGTGTTCAATGAAACTGTGCAGGTTTTGCACACATATTCAGAAGAAATAGTAGAACAGTCTACAAAATTTTCATGTTTTTGTCAATGTTTTGACATATAACACATACATCCTTAAGAAGTGTAAATTATTGTAAAGAGTAACTTCCGAAATGAATTATATAACGCAATTGATTCTTGCTCAATGTGGAAATAAATGACTTATGTATGTCCACAGACCGATCTTAAATATTCTAAAATTAAAAATATTGCAGTGTTGCATTATAATTTATAAAATAAACAGTTCTAATTTTAAAAGTGTGAAAAATATAAATGATCTCTAAAAAACATCTTATAAAAATATCAAAAAAAATAAATGTGTATGTGTGTATCATATGTGTGTTAGAATAGAACTATATATATTTTAATATCATAATCATAAAATTGTTTCAGATATTTATAAATCTTTTTTGATATTATCAAATATTTCTAAATGAGTATAGTTCTCTGTATAATTCTCAAAGTTTCAAAACATCAAACTTCACAGATCAAAATATTTTTATTGCAAAGCTATTTTCTTACATAAAAAAAATATTTGCATTAAGAACGGTGCTATCGCGCGTTACCTATTGTTTTTTCTAACTAGTTATAATTTTTTTCTCATTTTCCTTATCATCGATTTACCTTGTCTAAATTTTAAATTGTTCGATTATACTATATATATATTTGTTTTTAAAGCAAGATTTCCGCTATTCAGGAATCATTTTTGAAGTTTGTTTCGATTTTATACTTCCGAACAAATCACGAAGGCAAGTATTTTCGAAACTAATGGCAAAGAATGTCTGTACTTACTTGACATATAGACACACACACAGAAAGACAGTCGATCGCTTAAAGAATAGGAGTTGTCCTTGCGCAAAGAAAGCTGAGAACTGATACCAGTTACTCGTTCATCAGACCTCTTATAGTCTTGTCTGGTTCAACTAATCTACGGAAGGGATTGTAAGACCTTTAAAATAGCATTCTGCTAATATTATTTTCTGCCTATTATGTTTTATTCTATCTTTCTCTCTCTCTCTCTCTCTCTCTCTCTTTCTTTTAGCGCTTTCCATTGATTCAGGAGGAACAAATTTAATTATTACTTTAATTATTGAAGCACTTTTTTCATATTATGCCAATTATATATTATAACAAATACTATTATCAACAATAAAATCAATAAAGCTTTAAATAATACAATATAAATTACAAAAGCTAACGGGATAATAAGAGCTAAATACAAAATAATAAGCGCAACAATAAATTTTCGAATATAAAGCAGATAAATTTATTTAAACGTTTCAGTCCCACTTCGGGCCATCTTCAGTAACTGTCGTGCAAAAAACCACAAAATAAAGTAAAGTAGATAAAAGATATAATAAAGAAAAAAAAATACATACATTAATTCTGTAAAAAGAAAATATTTCGAATATGCAAAACTTTTTAATAATCACCGCCAATATCAAGGAAAACTATACGCACTTGACGCTTGTAAAGCGTCTATGTTATATGAGAGAAGTGCACTAACATTTCAAACAAAATTAACAAAGTTATAAAAAGAAACAATTGTGGTATATAAATTACATATACAGGGTGACTGGTAAAGATTATACCAACGCTCGTGAGCGGGTAGAGCACAGTAAAGTGAACAGGAAAGTCCTGTAACATTTTTTTATATAACGCTTAATAAAGGAGTTATTATTGAGTAAAATCTGCCAATCAGCGCCAACCTTTAGCCGCGCGTCTGGTAGTATGCGTGAGCGCTCCATCGCTACGGCGGCGCACACTACCAGGGGCGTGTTCCACTTAACGTTCGCAAGCATTATCTGTCTTTGTTTAATTTTCGGTGAACAATAAGGATGAAGTGATACCGTGAGCGTTGCGATCGTTAAGTGGAACGCGCCCCGAGTGGGCGGCTCACCGACGTGCGTCCGGCTAAAAATCGGCGCTGATTTGAACAGACTTTACTCAATAATAACTCCTTTATTAAGCGTTATAGAAAAAAATGTTACAGGACTTTTCTATTCAGTTTACTGTGCTCTATCCGCTCACGTTGGCACAATCTTTACCGGACACCCTGTATATGATAAATAGAGATGCAAATGCGCGTGAATAAAAGCTATGAGCAAATATATAATATTGTAGGAAGAGAGAGAGATATATATGAAAAGCATCTGAAATAATATCATACACATAATACGCACACCAACATATCGCGTACGTTATTGAGATTGCATCTGCATAACAAATGAGTTGGATGATATAGTACTTGGAATTATTTTGTTATATAAGGTTAGCTGAAGTAGAGCGGAACGCTGCATGGACATCACGATATGATTCCACTAATCCTTCAATAATTAAAATAATAAAATTATTTAAAAAAGAAGAAACGGTCACGCGGAAAAAAGGTCCATTATAATCAGTCGAAATATCATGAATTATATGTTTTAATATATACAATATGTATATAATTTTCTATATTTTTTTTCAATTTACATCATGTGAATTTAAAAAAAATAAGATGTTACTTTTATATCTACAAACAAAAAGCTGAATCTGATAAAAGTCGCGATTACTTTCTACCATAAATTCTATTTCGAAAAAGATTTATCTACATTTGAATTCTGTATAGTTATTTATAATTGTGAGACATTGCAGTATGTCTAAAATTGTAGATATATAAAGACGTTCGTCTGATTAGACAATGAGTTCTATCTGTGCGATTTCTCGTGGAATTAAGGAAATGTCAATTATATAAAACTGTAAAAAGAGTCGTCACATTTTCTATCTATCGTCTGTTTATATAAGATTATTAAATAGATTTTATTTATTGTATGTTTTCACACATTCGAAAGTATCGAGAAAGCATATGATTGTGTTTGACAGAAGATGTTTTTAGAAAATATTTGTATTATATTATCAAGTTTTCACTTTTTTATACAAATGACAAAAAGAGCGGGCCATATATAATATTGTATAACTTCACTTAATTGTATTATTAAATATCTCGAAGACAGTACTAACCGTTTTTGTTGTCAAATATACAATAGATAAAAAGCATTTGGTCGATGCAAACTTATTATGGTTTGTTATAATTTTTTTCCACAGAGAGAAACAACGTGCACATTTAAATTTATTCCTCAGAATGAACGTTTCCCATATTTTTTATATCAGTGAGTGCGACTTATATATTTAATTAAATATTTATATCAAGATTTTACGTGTCAAATAACTTATATTTCAATTATAACTAATATCCTGCTTTTTAGTCATGCTGATACTTGTAGAATCCGATTGCGGCCGGATTCACAAAGTCCCGATTAATGAGGTAAGTTTTAATTCTTATTCATTAGAAAATTTTAATAACATCAGATTTGAACAGTTTTGATTTCTCCTCTCTGTAACATCTAAATATTATTAATAACCTATCATTATGTCTCTAATATTGATCGATTACAAATTTACAATTATTAATTATTATTTTAATTTTGGATTAGAAATTGACAAATATTTTCATCATCACAAGATGTATAAAATAAATTTGTAAATATTTATGTAAGCTCTATCTTTTCGGTTTTTGGAACACAAATATAATGAACTATTTACAGCCATTTGTGACAATTTTTGACCATGAGTTTAGCACATTTATGTTTATTTCCGATTCACATTTGCCGGCGCACGTGTAATGTAAATGATCTTTAATTTAACAACATTCACATACACACACACACACACACACACACACACACACACACACACACACACACACACACACACACACACACACACACACACACACACACACACACACACACACACACACACACACACACACACACACACACACACACACACACACACACACACACACACACACACACACACACACACACACACACACACACACACACACACACACACACACACACACACACACACACACACACACACACACACACACACACACACACACACACACACACACACACACGCGCGCGCGCGCGCGCGTAAATCTTAATTATCATATTAAAAAAACTTTATTAGAAGAATATTTTTTATCTTACGTTATACTATATTATAAATATATGAAAAACAATTACAGAATCGAGTAGACATGCGTCATACCGAAAGTGGAAACTGTCGTAGCGCTTTACCTAATGCCCAGAAAAAGACCGTTGAAAACGCAAGCAACATCGCGCAGAAAGCGGCGCAAGAAGCAAAAGCCGCGTCTGAAGCACAGAATATGGCTGGTCAACAAGCAGCGCGTCAAGTACTTAATTACATTATATTATACATGCCACCTCTCGAAAGGAAACATTTTGCAAAAATTTTGCGCTCTCGTGACTCAAAAATGTTTCCTTATCTTTTATTTATATAATACATACTTTTTGAAAAGAACTTATTAATAGCAGAATTTATACATATATACAACATATGCGCATACACACATACATATATATGTATACATATATACGTGCATACATATATATTGTATACATACATACATACATACATAAATATATATATATATATATATATATATATATAGAAATAAAAAAGTTTCTCTCTCTTTCCAATCTTCTGACATGTAATTATCTGTCTCAGACCAGGGTCTGTGCGCATGTTATTGCTGATGAAATGTGTCGCATAAAACTATAGAATTAGCAGCATGAGAACGATTTGCCTTGTTAATTGTCTTTATATATATTTGCGTGTTAAGATTGGTATTTTGTTCAGCAAATATGCCATCGTGTACTGTGTACTTAATAGGTAAAGACTCAACTGGCGGAGAAGGCGGTTCAAGCTGCCAAAGCCGCTGAAGCGGCCTTATCAGGTAAAGAGGCAATGGTCGAACAGCTGCTAGAAGAAGTCAAGGAAGCACGATCGGTGGTTCAGGAAGAAACGTCTTCTTTGCAACAAGCACAAGCTAACGTCAATGCTGCGATCCAGGCAGCGCGGCAGTCACAAGATCAGGTACATTAATAACCGAGGTGAAGTCACAAGTTGTAATAACAAGACGAATGGTGTCCCGAATATGTAAATTGCAATCTAAAAAGATATTTCACGTTTTATTTTGAATTATTTACATCACAATTTAACAAGACTTGATTTATGACCCACGGTTCGTATTTGAATATTTTTTATATTTTTATTTAGGTATTGACTCTATTGATCTTTTTTATAATTTGTTTTATTTTTCCTATACTCTTTTGTATGTTTTATCTTTATATCTTTGTCGAAGACTTGAAGAAAAACTGAAGACTACTTCTATCACTTTATCAAAATATGGAAGAAAATGGTAGTTTTTTCTCCAATGTTATAGATTATTTTATTTATTTATTTATGCATGTATTTATGTATAATTATGTATGCACACATATTGTATATAAAAATGAAACCGCTTATCGACAATTTAAGAAAAGTTGGCCTTGAGTTTGTTAAATGTTGCAAAAAGATGAAAATTGTTCTGAAAATTGTTCTTTTTCTTTGCGTTATACAGTTTATAAATGCTATGCGTTATATTTTGAAACTACAGTTGAAGACATTGACGAACGCAGTGCGTAGAGCCAAATCGAACGCGGCAAACGCTCAGGCGGCTGCGAGCGGAGTGCAGAGATCGCTACGAGAGAAAGAAGAACTACTAGAGGCGGCCAGGAGACGAGTGGATGAATTGTCAAATCAGTTACGAAGTGCTCGGCAGGATCTCCTGAACACGAGTCGTGCAGCGGCCAAAGCTAACGCTTCTGCGCACGAAGCGAAAGTGAACGCTAGAAACAAAAGGAGATTGGCGAATCTTAGGAGATTGCGGATGACACACTCAACTGCGACGCGAGCTACTTCTTGAGATGAGACATGCAGGAAGATTTATCAAATTAATATGATCATGATTAATACTAATAAGATTGTGCACTTTAACAGTTTTGGACGACTTTTTTTACAAATATACAGATTTCGCGTTTATACATATCTTTTGTAATAAATGATCGGAAGAAATGCAGAT